GTGCTGTTATGTACAAAAAAGTAATAATATTAAGACATGATTTTTAAATTAATACACAGAAAAGTCAATATATAAGTTACAAACTTATTACTAACTATTGTTCATAATAAAACATGAGTTAATTAGTGTTACGTATTCTTAGTCGTATTTTTAATCTAAATCTAAATTTTTAATTTATTGGTTATTAATGTTATTATTAATTTTGTAATTTATTTATAAATTATTATATATATATTATTATATTAAAGTGTTGATGGATTATTTAACAGAGTCCAGTGGAGTCAAAGAGAACATGAAGTAATAAAGAGAAGATTAGCAGCCAAAACAATAGTAGAAATAGTAAAATTCATTGGCAAACAAGGATTATCATTTCGGGGACATAGACATGAGGCTGCTTACGAATTGGACAATCCAACAGTGAACCATGGTATTTTTTTAGAAATTGTTCTGTTATTGGCAAAAACTGATATAAATTTAAATGATCGCGTCAACAATGCAATAGTTGAAAGCAAAAACGAACAAAAGGCAAAGGAACCGGTAGAGGAAGTTTATTTACTTTTCTAAGTCCAACAACAATAACAAATATTCCAACGATACATAAATTAATGTTGAATAAAATATCGGAAGAAGTAAACTCTGCTGGTGAATATTCAATAACCATGGATTCAACAATGGATATTTCTACTCATGATCAGTGTGTCTTTGTCTTGCGATATGTCCGAGACACAGTCAATGATAATATATCAAGAATTGATGTTATAGAAAGAGTAGTAGCTTTGGAAAAAGCAGTATCGTCATCTGGTCAAGCACTTTTTAACTTATTGAGAATAACTTTAAACTCAATGAACGTTAATTTGAAAAATTGTATTGCTGATGCGTTTGATGGCGCAGCGAACATGAATGGACAATATCAAGGCGTACAAGCAAAACTTAAAGAAGTGTCACCTAGACATATACATACATGGTGCTATGCACATATCTTAAATTTAGTATTTCAGCAAACTACTTCATACTCTGTGACAGTTATTTCATTTTTTGGACTTATGCAAAAACCATATGTGTTTTTTTAAAGAGTCTTATAAAAGGCTTAATATTTATGAAGGAAATAATGATCGTTCTTCACATTTAATCAATATTGGAGCTACTCATTGGCGATGA